TTTTTCCGTTCCATTTTCAGGCACCTACTGCTGATGCCGCTTCTTGTTATTATTATTCAGTTACGCGCTGTTTATACAGGCGAGATATTCATACATTCATGAATATATATAATGCACGTACTCGTATACTCGTGGTATCTTCTTTTGGCGCTGGCCCAACACACACGACGATGGGCGAGAATTTGCATAAACACCAACTACAACAATAATAACAACAACATCAACAACAATAACTGAGGGGAAGCACACGAAAAGCATCCGCAGATAGCGCAACGCGACTTGGTTTACTTTTAAATTTGTATTATATGCATTTACACTCCCTTACACCCCAAACCAAAAAAAAAAAAAACATAAAAAGAAAGGAAAAATAAAACCCTCATATGTATTTTTTTTCTGTCTTGTACATGTTTATAAAATTGTCTAAATTCCCACAAGTTGATTTAAACTTTCTTCCTTCTGCGCTGTGTAAGCGCCACCAAAAGTTGAGCCTGTTCCCTGTTTTGTTAGTTGCCTGGTATACCCTGTACCATCTTAGTAATAAGGGTATACTACAATTACAATTTTTGAATTCTTGCTTTATAAAATGGGGAGCTATGTTTGTGACTAGTGTGGTCGAATGCAAATATTATATAGCTTATCTTTTTATAGAAAATTTATTCTATTAGGTATTTTAATTTTGAGAAATACTTTTATATAATTTTTCAAAAACTACCTCAAAACAAATTTATCAAATCCAACTAAAAACAAATAATTAAAAACTTTGTATTTATTTCAATTAATTAAATATTTAAATTGCAACTAAATTTCATTTAAACGTTAAATTGCGTAGTTAAATTTGTTCTGTCTAAAATTTCTTGAGTAAATTTAAATTTTAAATTTAGTTTACAGAGTATGGTAAAATCGTTGCTTGCCGACTTTCCACTTCAGAAATTTCAGGCGAGTCGGTTCGCCTTTGGCTGGTGCCACGTCGCGTATACGTTTTGCTTTTTACACAATTGTTATTATTGTTGCTGGAGCTGCTCAGCGGGTCTGTCAGCTCGACTCTTCCGAGCATTGCCTGGCATGCAGAAATGTGTTTTTTCTTATACACACGTGCATCATATATATACTAATATATACTATTCGTCTGGGGTATTGCAAAGCCACCGCAGGAAATGCTAAAAATGCACTCAGGTATTGAGTGTGTGTGTGTGTGTGTGTGAATGCTGTGCTGTGTGGCTGGTTTATTTATGCAACTGTGCCAAAGGATACGGTTTTGGGTTTGGGCAAAGCAAAACACGATAAGACCATGTTTTATGTAATGCTCTCTGTATCAGCGTATCGGATATATGAAATTGAAAGCGAAAATCCGATGAGATGAGCAGCAACAATTGAGAAATTGTTAGGGACAATTGTGCCGAAAATAGGATAGCGAAGACAGTCAATTGGCAATCACATGTGCATATGGACAGAACATTAGGCAGATAAGTATATACATATTTAAGCGATGGAAATGCGAAATAAATATAAAAAAATATTTAAGCTTAGCTCATTTATGATAAAATTTTGATAAATATATAGAAATTTGGTTGATATTCTTGTATATTTAAAAAAAAAAAAAACGAAATTCATTGAAAAACTTGGGAATCAATACTAAGTGTAGCTTGGTATGCATTTTACCTCTCTTCTATGTGTCCATACGCATCTTGACGGATAACAAGAAGCCTCCAGTACAAATTTTTTAAAAACGATCTTATTCTTCCTAACCTAGTTAAGAGAATATTTTAATGAATATATTTTGATTTATGTAAAAAAAGACGTGTTGTTGAATGAGTTCCGAAGCAAATTAAGGATTTGTTTGTTGACTTGGTGGATATTTTGAGATATAGTTGTTTACCAGAGAAAAAAAATACGATATCATAAACAGTTTTTAGAAGTAGATCTGGCAACGTTATCCCTTGACTTGGGCAGCTGAAAAACATCCTTTAAGTATCTGAAGAGCTTTTCGAGTACTTATTAAATATTTTAATTCACTAGAAAATTATAGAAAAGTTAGAGATACTTAGAGGCTCGGTAGATAGCAAGTAATGGAGAGAAAGAGAGCGAGAGAAAAAAAAGAGAAAGGCTTGGTCTGGCTTTGTACACATTTATCTCTCTTCTTTTCTACATCTCTCATCGCGCACATAGCTCATTTATAATCGACTTATATTATTCTTGATTATTATTATTTATCTACTTTACACCCATTGTTTAGTGCCTTTGCTGTTTACCACGCCCCACACACACTTGAGTGAACTTTTACTATCTTTGCCCCACTCGCAAAATTAACATTCACTTATGCACTCACTCACACACACACAGGCGCACACTTACAAATCCACATACACTCACATTCATCGCTTTAACCAGCCAAACACTTGGCTCAAGTGTTTGCTCACTTTGCGGGCCGCAACCTCTTAACCTGCCCGCAACATCTCCCCCGTGCCCACCTTCGCACCACCTCCAAGACCCGCAAATACCCACTCACCTACGCTCTTTGGCCATCCCTTTTGCATTGCTCTCTGCTTGGCCTATGCTTAGTTAACGTTTTGGCCTGCGCCTCTATTTCGTGTTTTTCACCATTTTTTCTTCATCTCTTCTTGCTTTTTTTTTGGTGTCGACCTTAGTCTGCTTGGCATATGTTTTCCACGCCCTTTCCCTGTGTTCGCCTTGTTTTCTTCTGTTTATTAGTTTTTTTTTTTTTTTAGCACTTTTCTAGCACTCCCTTACTTTTTGCCCCCTCTTCACACTTTGTCTGGCGCCTTTCACTCACTCACTTTATTTGCGCTCATGCATCATAAGGGTTTAATGGATTTGCTGCGGCCTCAGGAGAAGCTCAGCCCTCTCCTCAGAGAGCGGCTCGAAGAGCCACAATTCATACACGCCCACAGACACACACACACACACACACACACACACACACACGCACGCACACAATGATTATCATATTACGCACACCCCAAGCCACTTGCAGGCTCTGTTCCTGGTGTTTATGACTTTATTTTGGCCACCTAGTCGAGCAGTTAATACATTTTTATAGACTTGCCAAACTACTATTTCCCTTTCCGCTCTCCACACACACACACACACATACACACACAGCAGCACTTTACAGGTCTGTCATTCTATTAGCTTTTCGCGTGCTTTGTCATTGCCGTTAATAGACTTACTTTTCCTCTTACACTTTTATAGAATGTTTCTTTACTTCTTTGTGCCTTGGCTTTCATTCTGATGTTGTTGTTGTTGTTGGCGCCATTAAGTCGTCATTGTTGTTGTTGTTGTAATTGCTCAGCTGCGTGTGAGACTCAGGTGCGAGTGGCGGCTATTAAACAAAAAGTGAGCAACGCTGCGTATACGCAATACATAAATCAAATTGCGACTGCGACTAGTCAAAAGTCTATAAAAAAAATATATGTGTCAAGGCGAGGGCTGTTTATTTGTTTTATGCGTTGATAAAAATGGACGTGTTTTTTTTTTGGGGAATTAGAGATAAAAGAGGAAGAAGGTAATTCTTTAAGAAACTTTAAGCCAGCATAGGTTAACAATATATTTGACTTTTTCTTTTCAAATAAGTTTATTATGCATTATTGCAATAAAATGATAACGACTTAAAGCTACACTGTACACACTCAGGACCAAAAGACAAAAGTTCATAGGCCCATTTATAATTAATGAACAATTATTTAAATTAACTGATGCAGCATAAATTAAGCAGCAATAAATCATTACTTCAATAGTTAGCTTAAACCCAATTTGACCGTAATAAATGAAATTGCAACCTGTCACAAATTTGTTGTGGATTCGCTTTATGCCGAGAGCTTTAATACAATTTCAAGAGACAAGCCAAACTATGCAATAACCAAAAAATGATTTTTCCAAAATGTTGATTTTCCACTCCATTTTCTGCGCAATTTGCTTGTGTCAAAAATGTGCAGCAACAATTCATTTGCATTTGCAGCAGAGCACTCTTTTGGGGTCGGGGCAAGGCAAGGCTTTGCCCGGCTTAAGCAGCAGCAGTCGAGTGCAGCAGCAGCCAGAATCGCCCTCCAGAGCCAGCCATAATATATTTAGGAGCTCTAGTACGAAGTATATGGTATAGTTTGTAGCTGTCTTTAGCACACATCAAAAGCATTATTAACAGGACTACATACACAGCGACAGCACACAGGGCGCAGGATAACAGAAAAGATGCCTGCAAGCAGGCTCAGTAAATCCAAAACATGTGTCCCTACTGGATGGCAGTGTGTGTATATATGTGTGTGTGTATCTGTGTGCGTGTGCGTATTTATGAGCCGTGCCACACACTTACATTGCCAGCCACATCAACTGCTTTTGCCGTGCATTAAGTGGCCTGAGCCTGCCACACAAGGACATGCTTTTTGTGGTCTTTAAATTATTTTGTTTTTTCACATGCGCCCCTCTACCGACACCCTGCACCCCCCCCCCCCCCCCCTTGCCCGGTGGCCCCTATTTTGTGCTTTACATTTAAGGTGTCTGCATGGCGCATAAAATGTATATTAGTCTGGCTGCAGGGCAAAAAAAAAAAAATTAATATTAAAAGCAGTTACTACAAGTCTTAAAAGCAGAAACAAAAAATAGAATAAAGCTGAAAACTCCTAAATTTAGTTTCGAGTTTTTTTCTGTGAGTGGCTAAGCAGCTTATAAATACGCAGAATACGAGCGAGCATAATTTCGGGACTAGAAAGAAGTCTGCATTAGTTAATTGAGAGCATTATCCGAGAAAGCAGCTTTAACATACACGAAATTTGCTTTCATACAATATTTAACTTATGAAAAAGTAAGAGAATATATATTAGCGCAGATTGTGTTAAATATGTGGAAGAAATGGTATAAAAAAGTTTGGAATAGATAAAATATATTATATTACTCTTAATATTAAAATACATTCAAGACAAACAAAAGTAGGCTCTGATTTTCTTTTGTAATTTTCGGCCCCATCTCGGTAAGAACCCCTCAACTTATTCCCAGTTGAGCTGTGCAGCTGGACCGAATCCGTACTGAATAAAATTCCAAAATTCTAAAAATTTCAATAAAATTTCGAGGCATTTATTTGGTTAGAAATCACACCAAAAATCCCTTCAATATATTTAAAGATTAAGCGAAAAGTTTTATTTTTTACTTTTATAAAAAAGCAAAATTAAACAAATTATTTTGTAAGGAAGAAAATTGCTATTCACACAGTCGAAAATTGTGAATGTAAGTAATATAAAGAGTCTACTAATTCATTAGAGTATTCTCATCATTTTTGTTAGTTCTGTGAATGTTGACGTCAGCGGTAACACGGCATCTATCTACAAGATTATCTACGGATTGTTGGGGGAGGAAGAAAATAAAACTCATTCGAACACATCAAGTAAATACATCAAATACACCAAGGAGAAGACCAGTAAATCGCACACAATCGGGTTGAAGAAATGTGTCTCTCGATCAACATCTGATATGAGAATGAAAAATGCACTTAATTGGGTTCAATAAATGTATATCGATAGATCGATATGCAAAAACGAAAATACATAAATTTTTGATTTATTTAATTTATCGGTCTCGTCGTAAATTATCTGTTTATCGGTATGATTTATTTGGAGCGTGCAATAAAAAATTCTCCATTGCTATAGATTCATTTCATTGCAAATGCACTAAATTGGGTTCAATAAATTTATATCGGTTCATCGATATGCCAAAGCGCACTCTTGTTTATTTTAGTTTAAATGGGTATAATTTAGATATGCAGAAATATTGTACTGAAGAAATGGAAAAACCACAATTACGCTCATAGATTCATTTCTGTAGAAAAATGAAGGGAGCTAATCGAACGCTTGATTTCTAAAATAGTATGTTTTATTTTATTAGAACTTAACTAGATAAAAAGCCGATGTTATCGACGTCGTCAAAATAAGGATTAACCTGAACAAAATTGTGACAATTTTTATATTTCATTTTATTTGTCGATCTCGTCTTAATTTATATTGGTAGGCATTAAAGGGGAATGGAGAATGGAAGCTTGCTATCTAAAATAGTATATAGATATATTTAAATATATGTATATATGTAACTTAAATTTGTAGGCCCCACATGTTCAATGACTCGACTAAAAATGAGAAATATATTTTCAATAGGTCCTGCCTTGGTTTAGCTGCATAAAATGTGTATTCTATGTCGAGCACAAAACTAGAAAGCCCGCTCTGAATAGCAGCTGCCTTTGCTCTTATTTTTGAGGTTGCGTAAAAGTGAAGTCCCGAAAATTGGGTTAACGAAGTAACATTGCAGGGGCAGCTATGGAAATGCGTTTGAAATTGAAATCTGTCTGCGTGGAATGTGGGTTACACACATCCAGACGCTTAAGAGTATGCAACGATTGCTGCGAATCAATTGAAACCCTCTCACAATTAGTGCGATGTCTGAGAAATGCAGCGTGGAATTCGTTTTTTTCTCATTTTACTGGCAGACAGCGTGGCAACACCTTGACAACTTTATAGTTGCCAAGTCAACTAGTTGTTGTTGTTGTTGTTGTTTGTAGTTGCTTTAGTTGTTGTGCAGTCAGTTGAAACTGTCGCAGGTGCTCGTTAGTTTTGCTTCGGCACTTTTGGCCTGATCCTCAAGTGTCGCCGAGTCCTGTCACATCCTCAACGCCAGCTTTGTCGGCGACTTTTCAAAGTTCTGCAACGTCGCCAAGTTTTGTTTGCGGCGCGGGTTGAAAGTGTGTGGGAGGGGGGTAGGCGAGTGTAGTTTGGGTTTGCATTCAAATTAAATAGCATTTTGATGAATATTGATTGATTGCTTGTGCCTCGAGGCAAATTAAAAGCAATTGGCGCTATGGCAAATCGAAAAACTTTGCCCAAAAACTTTGGCCTTGTAATTGAGATAGTCGAATTGCAGTTGCAGTTGCAGTTCCAGTTGAATTTCAAATATATTTCGCAAGAAATGCTGAAAATTTGTTAATCAACAGTTGTTTGTAGCATTCAAGAAAGTTTTATTTGGTAAAGGAAATTTTTTAAATTTGTTTATAAATGCAGGAACTTTGACTTTTGAGTTGTATTAAGAAAGTCGGTAATAAACCTCTTCGTTCAAAAAGTTGCCCAGGTGAAACTGAATCGAAACAGAAACATATATTTTTCAAAAATGGAGCCACTTTGCAAATAATTATTCTTTCTATATATATATTCATTATACATATATAATATTTAAATAATTTTCTATTAAATGTAACCGAATAACAATTGTTTCTTTTTGTTAATATTTGATCAACATACAGCAAATCGGTTTCCCGTGTTATATTCACATTCATATTATTCCTTAAATATTCTCCATAAAAATTTGACAATTCGATTTTGGCCAACTTTCGCAGTCTTTAAAACTAAACAGTTTTATTTTCTTGTGGAATTTGCAGCAACCTATAAAATAATTCAGTATTAAGTAGCAGACAGCTCGCTCGAGGACATTACGCAACAGAGTGCTAGGGGTTGCGAGAATAGCGTGGGGTTTGGGGGAAGGAGAGTTGTTGTTGCAGTGAGAGTTGCAACCGGAAATGAGTAAACAAGCGTCAAATAGTAAAAACACAACGGCAGCAACAAGAGTAAGTGTGCGGGGCTTGCAAGTGGGCGCCAGGACAGCGAGTGTCCTGCTGCAGTCCTTACGAAAATATAAATAAATGAAACATTAAACAAAACTGCGACGACAACAATGGACAAAGCCCTTGTCGGGCGAGTGCTTCAGGACATGGAGTATTGGAGTGTGGCGCGTGCATAAGGACGCGAACGCGGATGCGGAGGACGCCACTGCAAAGATGGCGAAAAATGAGCGAAGACAACAACCGGATATCCGGCAACTTTATAAGCAGCCAGCAGGCACCGCCACAAAGGACAACCAGACACCAGCGACCAGCGACCAGCGACCGACGCCGATGCCGATGCCGCCGCCAACGACAACGACAACGTAGTTTATTTTAACTTTTGATTTCCGCCTTTTTGGTATGCTGAGTATTTTCTTTAGCTCAACCCTCCAGTCCCGCTCGGCTCAGTAACCTGGTCAGCTGCATGGCAGCAAATGCAGCAAGCGCTACTTCGTCTAGTCCTCGAGCACATCTTCAAGACGAAGAAGAATGCCGGGCGCCTGCATTAAAAATGAATTAAACTTGCGTTTCTCAAGCTCCCATCTGCCAGTTCCTGTGTCCTTTCCCAGGAGCTGACTGCGATATTCAACAAGAGTTTCCAGCCAGCACGCAATTCAATTTACACCACCCCAAAGACAACTTCCCAAATGTCGGGGCCATGTTTTCGGTGTGCTATATATGTATGTAAATATATATACATAGATACATAATTGTGTAGACTAAAACAATCAGAAATGAATACAAAGACTTTTATAGGGAAGAAGTAGTTTACAGGAAGTTTCTTCAAACATCCACATTAAATGTAATTAAATTAATTATTGTTAACTCATATATATATCTTAATATGCAATCAGAGTAGGCTTCGCATTCGACTAGAATTATTTTGTTGTTTGATATCTCATCACAGAGCTTTGTGTTTTGCTCAGTACACTCTTTAGATTCTTACAAACAACATCAAAAAAACTAAAAACCGAAAAACCGATACCAAAAAAAACATACTCGTCGACACAAAGAGGTCCTTATTTTAAGCAAACAGTGTAACTTTTTATAATTTTGTAAAAAAGTTGATAAAATTAAAAAAAAAAAAAAGAAAATTATCAATTTTCTAAAAATAAAAACCCAAAAAAGGACATAAAAAATGCCAATAAATAACAGGAACTAAAAACTACAAAAAAAAAAACTATTAAACGAAACTAAATAAAAAAAAAATATTCTCCAATTTGATTTGGAGAAACTGTTGATATTGATATCGGCATGGATATACCTGGCTTTACCTAAACATAACTGGATATAACTCGGACTGTAAGTCGAACCTCTTAAAGAAAAACCTCTCGGTAAAATCATTTCTATTTGCAGTGACAAAGATATATATATATATATAAATGTAAAAAAATATATATAATCTATTATAGACCTGGATTCTAATTAGGATGACTGCGAGTTGGTTGCTTATCTTCAGTGATCCATGATCCATGATCTTATTTATACAGTGATACAGAGCTTGTTCTTGCCTACGAACGCCTGGGGGGTCTTCTCTCATATCTTCAATCCTGGGCTTCACGATATGGTACACTGTCATCTGATTCACTTGTTCACGCTCAGTGGCTTCTTTCGAAAATTGCACTGGAATAGTTTCGTACGACTATCTGGGAGAAATTTGTTGTTTATCTGTTCGGATGGTGGAGTTGTTGTAAATTCTGGTTATCAATACAGTAATTCTCTTTGGCAATAAATATACAAAACAAATGGCTGGCTTTGGGAGGGTATCCGCTCAAGAATGCACCGCTGCATTCCTGGGGGAGGGAGTTTATCTAGGAATCTGCATTTGTATACAATCCAGCAACTGATATTCGAATAATATATCGAATAATTGAAATCTGTTCGGAACAAGAGATATATTATAAAACTGCAATAAAACTAATTCGAAAATTGTTCTTCGTTGCTCGGAATACAAATCGGGAGTGAAAAGGGATAGGATCCTCTACTACTGACTGTGTGGCAATCTGTTTAAATCGGGTGTATCTGAATGATTAAACGAATTGTGCGTATAATTAGCTGCAATACGAATAATCATTCGACAATTTTCTTGTATGATAGTAGGTTTCACTGGAAACTTTCTATTTCTGTTAACTTTTATTATAGCTAACTAAAATTACTTGTTGTAAATAAAATGTAAAAAAGAGTCTCTGGCGTATCGTCAATCCACCATACAAATTGTTCGCAAATGAACCAATTATATACACTATATATTTAGCGAAATCCGAAGCATTGGTCCGTGCCGATTACAATATTATATAGCTACATGGGAAGAATGGAAAATGTTCTATTTGACAAGATAAAATTACCCAAATCTTTTAATAACAAGCTTCACTATTGTGCACATATACCTCTAATGTCTTAAGCCATATGTCCGCGAGAGAATTTAATATTCGGTGAGCCAAAGATAGCTACACTTGGGCTTTGATATATAGATATTATTTTGTCATACCCCATTTGAGTCAACAGTTTACCCAAGACTTTCACGTCTCTGGACATATGATCAGAAATAAACTTATTGTACACTCAAGTAGAAAGGTAACACTGCTACACATAATAAGACCACACAAAATATTTATTTGTATGTGCAAAATGGGCTCGAAAACAAGATTGCTTATCTCTCACCATTCGGTTTCCATTGATACTGATTCAGAAGACAATGAAAGCGAAGACCTCTTCGTTCACTCCAAGAAAGAGCTATTCGGGCAAGTTAAGCGCTAATTGAAATTTTATATAATTTGTCACATATCCTTATGACTGATGCGTAGCCCCCAGCAACAGTTGCTTGATTACAAACAGTTCAAGGCGGCACGCACCATTCAAAGGTATTATCGGGGCTGGCGAGTGCGTCAATCAATGAAGAGAATGCAGCATGCATCAACTGTTATGCAGAGGACCTGGCTTCGGTTTATTGGCAAGAGGCATCTGATCAGCATCGGCGAGGAGCTCGTACAGGAAAGCATACTGAAGATGCTTAACAAGGCCGCAATAAAGATACAGGCATTATTTCGGGGCTGGTGGGTACGCAAGCATATCAATAATATGTTCTATTTGAAAGAAATACAGCTTAATTGCATTGAGGAGTTATTGGCCGGCTATGCGCACAGTCTGCACAATATGATGCGCACCCAACAGTTGCCAGGATATATGAGCTTATGTAAAAATCCGTAAGTGTCTTGTCGATAACTGACTTATCGATACCTTATATCCGATATTTATCTATCAGTTGCTACAATTCAAATATCGTACACTTAATTATACTATTATCGATACATTTGAATTGATATTCGATAGTCGGTCATCATTTTACATAATCCTTAATTTTTTCGTATTTTTTCAACTCTCCCAGACACGTTCAAAGAGTGGAGGACTTGATGGAGACTATGTCGTATCGATTTTACAATCGATATGTAGGCACAAGGTTTGTGTCTGACAGGGCTACCTTGGAAATACATCGTCGCGAGTTCAGAGATTCCAAATTTTGGAATTGGGTACCATACGCAGGCTTCAATCACACTGGTGAATGCCATCAACCGCCACCGGAAAAGCAGCCCAAGACCTATACAGTACGTGAATACGATGTCGTGCAGATCTTTACGTCAGTGGGTCGCATGACCGAGATTAAAAAGAAAAAGCTAAGGGCCAAAGAGGACAGTGAGTACAATTTGAAGCTGGAATATCTCTACTAGAGTCTTGCCATATAATGCATTTTATGTTTTTTGTCCTGCCATTTATCATCCAGAAATACGCAGGAAGTCGCATGCTCTTTGCGATAATGAAAGACGTTTTTGTAAGGATCTTGTGACTAGAATGACAGCGTGGCCCATGTGCAACGCATGCAAGGTAAAAGTAACGGATACTTTACTGGGACCCAACTTAGGTGAATTCCTCGATAATGTTAAAGCCTCTTTGGAGGCCATACACCAATTGGGGAACTGTAATTGCCAGCGGGATACGATACCTAAAGGTTACATTCAACCGTGCGAATGATTTCTCAATTATTTAAGATGTTTACACAACTTTCTACTATTTGTTTGTTTGCAAATAAAGCGGGCATGAAAGTATGAAAAATGTTTTAGCATATCAATCGACTATCGATAAGAGCTTATATAAAAAAAATGTGGATTCGTATAAGAAGTATTGTCATTTGCCTTAAGCTGAATTATCCACAGAAGTTTATATTTGAAAAATTCCATTGGCAAGTTTCAAAAACTTTCTGAATGCTAAACAATTGAATGTAGCTTAAATTGAATTTGATCCGCTTTAAAATGGGTTGCCCAAGAATATTTAAGAATTTATTTAATTGAGTGAAGTAAATTTCGAACGAATTTTCAAAGTTATGCATGAAATATATATCGGAATTTTCAACAAATGAATTACAGAGTAAATAATAACAGCGAGCTACACAGATGATTGAAAATTCAGGGCCAAGGTAAAACTGCATCAAAATTATTTTGCTTTTATTTCCAGCTTGAAAGTTAAACTAGTTACCTTCTTCCTCCAAATATCAGCAGCGTTCTATCAAGCATGTAGATAAAAGCTCATGTTGGGCTCAATTTCGATTGTATATAAGAATACTTAACATAACTAAACATAACTCTACAAGCATCACTCAACAAGTCTGTGATTCGAAACACAAGCCTTGTTATTTGCTTGATTCACTTATTCAAGCAACTCATTTGGCTTGAAGCTCTATTTGTTTATATATTTGAAATCGAAACCTAGGGCAACTTTTGACTTAGAAAATCTTTGACTTAATCAACCCACACACACGCACACGGCATAAATGAGCTCAATCAATATTGGCAACAAATTAAATTTAATGATGTTTGTTGCTTGCAGCCAAAGTCAAGTAGAATCAAGTATAAAAGAGCTACGAAATTGGCAACTCTGGTAAATATTTACCGACTGACGCTAATGAACTTGAGCATACAAATAGGCAACACACACACACACACACACGCAAACACTAAAAATACAGTTACTGCTCTCAGTAGCCAAAATATGTTCATAGCAGAATCTGCTCCAAAGAAAAGTCAAGTCGAAATGCTTCTTTGATTAAAGAGTCTTGCACAAAAATTTGCTCACTTACAGATTTCGCTCATGTCGTAGTTTCCTTTCATTTTCTTCTATTTTTTTCTTGAACTGTGAAATGGACGAGGGAAACGCGTTTACACAAAGAATTTTTCGCTATTGATTGTGTGATTGCGATTTGTGTGTGTGTGTGTGTGTGTGTATTTGCACATATGCTAGGACATTGCCGAAGAAGCACGTTTAGTTTTCCATTGTGGGCACACAAAAGTCAACAGCACTTCTTTGATTTTTATTCCCCATTTATACACTAGCTGAGGGTATTATAAGTTTGTCATGGGACATGAAATGCATTGCCAAGAGATTACTCTATATATCAATCCGTTTTCAGCGTACCACCAGGGGTGAGAAGGGGAGCCAAACGTCCCAGCTGGGGGTCAGAATAGGGGCCAACCGTAACGTTAAGAGGTTGAATACTTTCAAAACATTAGCTAACCCTTTTCTTCCCTGTTCTTTATATTATTAATTATCTAATGATATCAATCATTATCAATAGAGTTTCTAATCACATTGCCTTTACTGTAGTTGAGGGAATTCAAACTTCGCCAATTCGAAAGATATTTTTTCATTTTATTTGCAGTGATTCACAGTCGAGTAAAGCTCTGAGTAGGCTACTTGTCGAAATTCGAAGATAAGTTATCTCTGAACCAGTCTGCTCTTTTATGCTCGAAGTGTGTCTATAGAAAATAGTCTAGCAGGCTTTGCAATCGAAACGCAAAAGCTGTACATGGTTCGAGCTGAAAGTATTCAGTTTGCATTTGTGCATAGCTCATGCAGGAGCTAAAAAAAATGTAAAAGCTAAAAAATCGTTCCCTATTTTAAAAGCTAAAAAACTAAACAACAAAAATTGTAAAATATGGAAAAATATTAAAAAAAAATTCGTAACACCTAAAAATCAAAAGAAATAATAATTTTGTAAATAGTGTTAAAATTAAAAATCGAAAAAAAAAAATTAGTTAAGTAAAAAGTGAAAAGTTTCTATATATGACAATGAAGGTTTTTTTTTTTTTTATTTAAAATAATTATTATTTATTTTATTTAAAATCTGCCCGCTTTTTGAGCAATAATTAAATGTTTTCTTTGACCGTTGGCAGTTATGTATTGCGTGTATCTATGTGTCTGTTTTGTGTGCTTAGTGTAGGGGAAGCAGTGGAATGTGTGGAGTTAGACTCTTTGGGGGAGGTCAAGTGGGTGTTTCCTTTTGAGCCGTCTTGTTGTTGAGTTGTTGTTTAAAAGGCTGGTGGCAAGATTATTTGGGTGGTTGCCTAGTCTGGCGAAGTATCGATCACTCAGCTTGGCAATAACCTCCTTTACCCAAGGTATATTAAGCTGGCTGTGAATTACCTTATCATGGTAAATATGCGCGTTAGATAACATATGCAGAGTTTTATTTTGAAGTCGTTGAACAATGTTCAGGTTGCTCTTGCTGGCGGTACCCCAAAGATGGATGAACAAGTGAGTTATCTTAAATATAAATTTGTAATCTGTTTAACGTATATTGGTTTAGAAAAACAGCAATTGCGAACTCGGCGAGGATTGATGTACTGGGATGTTCCATAAAATTATATACGTTTGGTAGATATGTGAGCAAAATGTAGCTTAAGAAACCTATTATAGAAGAGACAAACCCCTAAAATACTAACATTAGAAAAATGCGTATTTAGGCACTTAGCACATCTTGTGCATGCCTGGGCGTTTACGAACTTGGCGAAATTATATGTAAGGAGATTGTTTGATATATTTAGTCTATTGTTCAACAGACAACACAAATACGAACAGTCCTACATAAAGCACTCATTGGTTTAACTTCAAGAAGTGTGCTTAGCTGGGCAACTGGAAAAGGCCGAGAGGCTTCATACATATTGCGTATTTCTAAGATGTAAGTTTTGGGATTTTTCGTAAAATTTTTAAATTAATATTACCCAAGTGACGATGCAGCCTTATTCAAAAAAGCCGATTTTGACGTTGGTCCACGATAAAGCCTGAGGCGAAACATTACCTAAGCCAACTGTGTTGTAATAAAAATGTATGCTATTTTTGATCCAATAAAATAAACAAACAATAAAAAAAAAATAAAAATATTACTTTACTTTATTAGACGCAAATACACGCTGTTCAACTGAGAGCTGAATATGTAGCATCTATTTAGCATATGCTGATCTTGACAAATTTTGATACTGAAATAAAAATATAAATCCAAAAAATTGAATATATATTTTGATACTAGCAAAAATGTATGTTTTAATTTGAAATAAATATAGCACACATCGAACAATGGGACAACTCTAATCTGAGAAAAAGCCAAAATATGATACTAGCTAAAATGCGTCATTTTGAATATTTTTAATTTAAAAATCAATGCGAAATGGAATTGATGGGAAAATAAGAGATATTTATTCAATATTTATATATAGAATAAATAAATTTTGTAAGATATTTATTCAATAGAATTTTGTACGAAGTTTCGCTCTTTTTCGAACTCTGATAATTGCTCAGGCCCTTCAGTCTCAGCTATGTCAATAAACCAGTTCTGTACACATTATCATTGAAGCCAGTTCGTGTCACTGAGCAACTTATTTATTAAAGCCTCATGCCAGAAAAACGCGTTTGATCCAACAGGAATATATGTAAGGAATATTTTTAATATAAAGTCGGCTTGTGACAGCTTTAAATGATCAAAAATTCCTTTTTAAAGATCTCTGAGGGCATAAATATGCCAGTCATATGGGGAGAGAGAGAGAGAGAGTGTTGTGTATAGTGTTGTACAGTAGCATTAAATAGAAACAGAATTAACCCAAATATGCAAATAAATTTGCCAGCAAAGCGAACAGCAACAAAGCTGCACATTAACTTCCGCAGCTCATTAAGTCGCTGTCAGCTCTGGAGAAAGGGAAAGCAGGAGAGCGGGCGCCTGCTGTAAATACTCGTATATAAAAATGTATGCGACGCCAACTGGACGACAGCACACACACACACTCGCACACACAGCTGCAAATCACAGGCTTGCCAGACTGGCAGAAAGTTCGCCGATTCTCACAACAAATAAAACATTTGGCCCCCATGTAAATTATGAGGGCCACGGAACAGACCCAAACCAAAGGCAGGGAATACGTAAATTAGCAGCATAAAAAAAAATACAAATAAAAAAGAAATATATATATAAAGCGCGCCAGAGGTCAACTGTGGGTGAGCATCAGGGATGCTACCGCTGGCCCGCCCAGCACCGCCCCTCCTTACACCAAAAAAAGGCTAAGCGAAAATGTCGACACATTTAAGAAAAATAACAGCAATTTTTTCTTTTTTCTGAGCGTTTGGCCTAATAAAAAATGATGTAAGGCTTTACTAGTCGACTTGGGAGACACTCTACACTGAACTTCGAGCTGTATTCGACATAAATTCCAGAGCATACAAAAGTCACAGATCTGAAAAAATCATTTTTAAGGCCAATTTGTGTTTATCGTTCACTTGTTTTGAAATTTTCTGATGGAATCTATATGTGGGCACATACGAAAAACTATTCGACTTTACCAATTTTATCGGCAAACTTTACAGAATTAGCATATTCTAGATCTATAAATCTCTATAAAAGGGTTACATCTAGATCGATTTGACAGCTGCTGCTCTTTTGCCCGTTGCCAACATCAATATGCCGCTTCTGTATAGTTGTAGGGTATATTAAAAAATGAAAAAACAAAAACCTGTGCGCATCCTTGGCCTCCAGTTTAATTAGGCCGTCTGCTTCTTTTGTGGCCTATATAGGAAAAATGCCTCAAAAATTGTTCGTTTAATTCTGGGTTGGCCTCGCTCCCCGGTCGAAGGTCAGTTTTGTTGTTATGGGTCGCATTTCGGGTCTGGGGGTGGCCAAACTAATTAGTGGCCATTTTGTGGGCGTTGCTGTTTAATGAAATTTTAATAGGACTTTAATTGAAATTCAGCACGGGCCTCGAAATTGTGACGATTGCTGAGCCAACAAAATAGTTAGAGCATAAAAAATGCACATGAGTCAAATTGATAATTGGCATAACAGGTTATGCGGATATTTTGCACATGGCCTAAGATCAAGAATTAGGGGATTGTTAAAGAGAACTGTTTAACAAACGAATTTGTGGACGGATAAAATCTAATACAAAACTTGTTTTAAATAGGAATACACACTGAACTTAAAATAGATTCTGATAGATTTGGGAATGTTTCAATAGCAATAGCATAAAAAATTATAAATGGCGAAACTCGTCAAAAATATTTTACATATTTTTTATAGTCGCCTCAGGCAGACAGCTTCAAATAGAGAACTTAGTTAAGATGATGGCAATAAGTAGCCTTTATCAGGAAGTTTCAATTGCAGGGATTTTATTTGCCAATTCTTATGAGAGGAATAAGAAGCCCTAAGCCCAAATCCCTAGAAGTTATTTCCAGGAATTTCATATAACAAAGCAGCAAAACTTGACTACAAAATAGTGCGCTAATTGTAAAATGTATGTAAGGGATGCGAAAGCCAAGAGATATAATTGAAATAAATTTAAATATATATTATATATAAAATTATATATGTACTTAAGAAATGACTCAGAGGAAGTTTTAATGAACAAATTTAAAATTAATATTTAAGTTTCTAAACCACTCTTACAAATTTAAAAGCGGTCTAAGAATGCAAATATTATTAAGCTCAAAGAACATTCAAGCTAAAAAAATTTTAATTCAATATAAATAAACATATTTATATAGTATATAACTTACCCGTCTGTTTGCTTAAGCTCAAATAGTTGTAGCAATTAAAATCGAATTCTCACATTTGTTTTAAGCAGTCAAATATTGTGAATGACTTTGCTGCAGAGTTGCAATTGCCGCGTTGCTGGCATTCATTTAATTTACCGTTCTTCTTGCACATTCCTTGTGGCTGCCTTAAGCCACACGCTCGCACCGCACACACACACACACACGTCTCACACACACACGACAATAATTAAACACACGCGCCGTGTAATGACAAACAGAAGGTTACAAAATGACTGACGACGGGCGACGCTTAACGAAACGTCGAACGAGCAGCCGCCGAAATTTATGTAAAATGCAACTAAAGAAGCAGCAGCAGCAGGCGCCTGTGCCTTACGTTCAGTATTCAGTTGCCGTTAGTTTCGCACAATTGTTGTTGTTGCTTTTGCGTGCTTTTTTGTTGTTGTTGGCTTGCCACGGCGACGGCTTCGTGTGCGCTGCTTTTGCCCGCTTGGGGCAGAGATCCACTTCGTAGCGCGTTATCAATGGAACTGCTCAACTGCTGATTTTTCTCGTCATCGTCGCTAGCATCGCTTCAGTAAGTACTTTTTTCTCGTCTTGCTCGTTCGTGACGGGACTCTCTCGGCCGCTCGGCTTGGCTTCGTGTCGCCGTCGTTTTTTGGGCGGGCGAGTCAACTTGACGAAAGATTGCTGTCATCTGAGCGTAAGTGTTGGGATTTTTTTGGCGCTGTAAAGAGAGAGAGGAAGAGCGTTAAAGATAAAGGATATTTTAACATGAACATTTTTTACTGTTAACAGTTACATTGTAATTCTTGTATTATAAATATTACAACTAGATATAATAATTAATAAAAAAAACCTTAAATTCTTACCCGAAATTCTCAGGTTAAGACACATTTTTGAAAATTATTACAATTGAGTACGACAGAGAAAAGTACTTTAAAAAATTTATAAGAAACAATGAATGAAGATTTATTATGATAATATAAAAACAACAAAAAGAACAATCGTAATAAATACATTCAATAATAATTGAGAATATTATTTCTTATACTGTTAACATTTCGACCAGTCAAAAGCAGAAGTTGTCCCAAAACTAAATACTGGGAACTTCTTAGGACTTTTTGATGAGGCCCTAGGGGTAATTATTTCAAAAGTTTAACGTTTATATTTTTTTGATTTCACATGTTTCTGAAATGTTATTTTGTGTTATGTTATCAAAAGTTTAACCCAATGTATAATTAAGCTATAAATTAATGCATATACAAATATAATTTGATTTTATTGTATATTTATTTTTAAATATAATTGATTATTATTTTTGTATTGCCTTTAAAAGAATTAAAAAAAAGAAAATCATTTGTTAATTTATTTAGACTGCCTTAACTAAGATTAACTGATGTGTGGTAAAAGTTAAAATAAATAAAATAAATATATATATATAAATAGAATATAAAATAAATACGCATACCAGCTATTAACCACTTATCTAAGCTGCTGGAACTTACGTAATCATTTATAAGCGCTCACCTTTAACCCATTAGCACGTACATCACCCACCCGAACTTTTTCATTAAATAGTTGCCTCCATTAGTTGCCATTAATTGCAAATTATGCATTTTAATTTAACGAGTCGAGGCTCTTAGTTATAAGTAGCTACACAGCTAAAACAACAGCATAGTAAAATTAGTGGAGAGTTATGCTCCACAAAACCCTATTTACACACACGCACACTCTCACAAACACGACTTAAGTTAGAAATCAGGTTTAATATGCTTAATATAATTATGAGAAGCGCAGAGAGAGGCGCTATGTGTTTGGCCATTTTCCACACACACACACACACACTCTCTCTGACATGTCTTTAGTTAGAAATCAGCTTTAATATGCTTAATATAATTATGAGAAGCGCAGAGAGGGGCGCTATGTGCTTGGCAATTTTCCACCTCCACCGCTTGCATACAAATTAAAGCATAATTTATAAGTAGGTGTGCGTGTGTGTGTGTACTTAGCTTTGCCTGTGTTTAACCTGACGACTGTCATAAAAATCATGTTTTTATTGTCGACGCGGCGCCAAAACCTCAAAATGAAATATGCATTTTGAATTGCCTGTGTTGTTGGTTGGAATTGAAGCTATAATGAGGGAGGGGTATAAGGCGGCGGGGGGATACTCTGAAATTAGTTTAACACACGTGTGTGCATTTTTAAGTTCTTTTTACGCTTTAAACGGGCTCAGTTAACTCGAGGGAGTATGTTAGGCGGAAAATGGAAAACATCTCCCACGCTCATCATATTCTATAAGTCAATTGAAATTTATTACACACACACACATACGCACACCCCATGCTGGCAGCTTGTTTATCTGTATTTGTATATGCCTGTCTATTATGCTAACTCTTACCCCCACCCCTCGCATACCTACATTAGCTCACCTGGTTTGGGTACTTGCTTCTCTATAATAATTTACAAAGCATTTTACGCTTCGCTTCGCCTGCCATCTGCATTAGCCGCAAAGTCAGTTTGCCAAAGCGTTGAGGGCGTGGAGGTTGGGTTGGGGGTGGGGTGGGGATGTGGTTAAGGGTAGGGTGTAGCAATGTCTGCATTATGTAAATACATAAAAAGTCTGCGCGTCCTTGATCTATGGCCCTTGTTGCCATTAGTATTTGTATTCCGCTAGCTTTGCTTTCCGACTTCTTGGCCATTTTGACGAATGGCCAATTATGATGGACGGCAACATTTATTTTTGGGCCCTCTTCCTCATGTCTGTCACATTTAACTGCAGCGTTTTATAGAGATTTCAGGAATGGCTTTGTCTTGAGATTTGTTAGTTTAAAGAAAGCAATATAGGTAGGAATGTTTCGTGCTCTGACAAGAGCTCAAAGGAAATTTGTAGCCTGTTGATTTTGCATTTTCGAGAAGGTATAGAAACTGCAAAAGCATTTACTAAAAAAAATAAAAGTTAAAATGAAGTCCCCTCAAATTATTCCTGTTTTTTTTTTCTTTTTTTAATTATGTCACTGCGAGCTATCTATTTCGATTTTTAAAAAGGAGAGCAAGGAGAGGAGATAATATAAAATAACAATTGAGTTCTTATATAATTTCTAATTTTCTAAATTCAAAGATTTTTTGACTTAATTAGGACTTGACAGAATTCCCCCTACAGAGCTTTTATTCATTTTTTAAGAATTCATAACTATTTCTGATTTTCTTTATCCTATCTAAGGAAATATATATCTTAAAGCGAGAAATATTGAGCTGTATATATGTATGTGTGTGACATGTCTCTGAGGCGACACAAAAACAATTTCTAAGTCATAAGAAAAGCAATGCATCATTTTTATGCCGAAAAGTTTACAAGAGCCGCAGCCGATTAATGTGCTCAGAGGCCAGAAAGAGCGCACGCAGCCAGAGTTGTCACACACACACACACACACACACGCACGCACGCACGCACACACACTAATAGAGAGGCTGCCAGCGCACAGAGAGCACCCCAAAGGATATTAACAATAATCTAACCAAATTAACCCAAAGCACTAAAGTGTAAGTGACATTAAGTTAATTTTCGAGCTGAAGCTGAAGACGAGACCAACGAAGACACAGCGTAAGAAATAAGCATAGAACAGGCAGAGAGAGAGAAAGAAAGGGAGAGATGAAGGAAAAAGTGAGCAGCAAAAAAAAAAAGTTGAGGTTTTATTTCAGTTGTTGTTGCTGGCTGTTGGCTGGAACTGTGCAAAATTTCCCACGAGATCAATCAGCCACAGGCAGCAGCAGCAGCAGCAGCAGCAGCAGCTTGGCTCTGTCCACCATTTGTGTTGTTGTTGCTGTAACAGTAGCTGCTGCTGTTGTTGTTGTTGCTGTTATTACTACTTTTTGCAACTTTTTTCTTTTGTATAACTTGGTCGAGCGTCTGCTTTTGTTGTTGCCTTTTTTTTTTGTTTTGTACTTTGTCTATGAGCAGCAGCTTTTTTTCGCCTCTCTTCTCTTTTGTGCTTTTCTTTTGGCTCTTTTTGTTTTACACCTTTTGGCATTGGCCTTTCGCAGCGAGCGCAGCTAATGAAGCGACGTTGATGATGCCAAAGCGACGGAGGGGGCGTGGTGCGGGTTTGGTTCAGTGGCGTGTGGCTTAACGGGGGCTGAAATGGGGTGTGGGCTTCTATCTACTTCACCTGCACAGCTCCTCTCGAGGTTTTGCAAAGTGAGTTGGGATATTTTGTGGCAAGCAGAAATGTGAAACACGTGAGTCATGCAAGCCAACAAAAAAATTTAGACAAAATTTGTAATTTTAAGATTCGTTCAGAGTTACAGAGCTAATCAATGAAATTAGCTCTGTTTTTCGTTCAGTTTACGTAAGAATTTTAAATGCAAAAGTGCAATTAATAAAATTGCTTTTATGTATGGGCCATATAGAAATTATTAAATAATTAAAAAAAACAAAAAACACCAACTTGAACTATTAAAGAGAATCAAATAAAATGCATTGCTTAATACTTTCGTTTTCTGCCTGTGCAAAAGCTCAAGGTCAGCAACATTAAATGAAATTCGCATATTTTACCTTTATCTGAATATTACTCCAACAAGGAATTTAGTAGACTGATCTTTGCAATTAATTTGAACACACGCGACACGTATGAAATGCATATAGCACCCGTTATTTAATAAGACTTCACATAAAACGATTTTGCACACGCGACGCGTGAACAACCGACCGATCTGAAGAACGAACGGGCACAAACTAAAAATCGTCGCATTCAGCGCGCAGCTGTGTTAAGCCAGTGCATTTACACTAAACAAAAACAACATGGAGTCCACACACTTGCACGCTCACATCATTCACACTGACCTAGGATAACGGGATCGAAAGCATCAACGATAAGTGACGTAGGCACGCTCTCCGACATACCATCCACAATGCCCGCTCTGTGGAAGCTGTCGCAGTCTGCAGTCCACTCTAGAACAAAACTCTCGCTCTTTCTCTCTCTAGCAGCCAAGCTGATCCGTGATTAATGCAGCCAACGCACATATTGCAACATACATATATATTTTATGCCTTTGCAGAGGGTATTATAATTTAGTCATGAAATGTGAGCTATATTCGAGCTCACAAAGTATATATGTACATATATTCTTTATCAGTAGCAACAGCCGAACTATCTCTCTATTTCTATGTATGCTAATTTCTCAGTTTTAGGGCTATCGTCATGAAGCATTTACGAAGAATCGCTCGAAATTAAAACTTTTGTATGTTTAGAAGAGTATTCAATCTGCCATGAATTGAACGTGTTTCTTATCGTTGTTATTTGCTGAGATTTATATTAAAGAGAATCCCTTTTCTGTTATTAACTATACGCCACTGCAAGCGTAAACCAACACTGGGCAGCCGCAAAAAATAAACTGTCATCAGAAAACTTCTGGCGTTCATCTCATTAGAAGCGAAACACTTCAAGGCCAACAACAACAACAACAACAGCAACAAGAAAAGTAACAACAACTTGTCGCTAATTGTCGCGCTGTGTGTGTGTGTGCGTGTGTGTTGCTAAATGCCTCCCCATTTGACTCGCAGCCTTCACAACACTGGACACTCGACAATGCCACTTGATTGATTAATGGCTGTCAATGTCAGCGGAGGTGACAAGCGGCCAGAAAGTCAGCGAGGGGATTCAAAGCACGGTAATCAACAAGAACTCGACTGACTAAATGATGTGCCAAATTGGACACGGCCTGGCGCAGGAGCTATGGCAGATTAGGGCGGAACGGAGGGTGGGGGAGGGGTTTGGCCGCTGCCATGTGCCAAAAAGTATGCAATAAACTGTCAAAATGCCACACGGCAAATGACAAGAAAATTTGTTGGCATTTTCCGATGATTTCTTTTTACTGTTGTATTTTTGCGGAAACATTTAATTTTGGGCCTCAACTGCGGTGGACCAGGTAAGTTCAGTTTCTTGCACGACTTGCACTTCCGGCTACTTTTGCATTTCCGTTACAACAAACAGAAAAAAAAACACTAAAAAGGAGAGGAAATACCAGCAAACCTCGAAAATGGAGTCCATTGCGGATATCCGCACGGCAATTTTAATGCAATTTTTATGCGCTCGTTTTGGCTTCCTATTTTCTTATATTTTATTAGTTTCTTTTTATTTTTTTCCCTCAAGTTGGCTTTTTATCGTATGGCATAATAGCAGTTGGTTGTTGCGGGCTGCAGGAAATGTGCCCCAGTGTGTCCTGTCCGAGCGGATGTGAAAGGTACGGCTGAATGCAGTGTAAGTACAGTAGTCGCTCGGCTTGGCGAACGCAATATTAAATTTAAAAAAATATAAATATTAAAATAAAATAAATTTAAATATTCTGGATGGCATAAACTAAGAAATGAAAAGAAATGTAAAAAAATAAGTAAAAGTACAAATTGTAGATAAATTAAAAAAATGTTCTGCATTGAAATAAGCTTGGAGTCGATTCGAAATTCCAAAAGATTTTGAAACTTTATACTACATTCCAAGGGCTTTCAGATATTTTAACAACTGATTTGAAATTCAGATGTTCCAGATCAAGCCTTTGAGCCAAATCGTTAAAGAATCGCCTTCCTGGTGGAGTTGTAAATATAAATACATATATCTAGCATATCATATTAAATAAACAACGTATATTATAACTGTTATAACATATTGCGAATTCAATGCCTATTTTTCCAAAAAAAAATGACATTTTATCCTTGAGTAAATAATTTTTAGAACTCAATTTTAAAATTAGTAGTAATTTTAATCTAAAAAAATAAGTTTAATACAAAACAAGAAGTTAATTTCTACAGAATATTAAAATTTTAAAAACTCGATATTTAATTTTCAAATGAAAGAAATTGGATTCTATAAAAAAATAACAATTATATAACTCAAATGTTACTTTTTTTTTTGAGAACTCAATGTTTAATTATCGATATGAAAAAATTTTATTCTAAGAAAAATAAAAATTAAAAATTTAAAGTTAAAAAATATTAAAATTTAAAAAACTATGTGGAATTAAAATAATTCTTAAAAAAAAATAAAATAAATAAAATTCTAAATAAATAAAAACTCTATCAACGCCTAATTTTTAATGAAATTATTAATTCAATTTTTTATCAAATTATTTTCAAAATTAAATCTTACCAATAATAATAATTAGCAAAAACAAAAAAAAAAAAACATTTCCCTTATTTTAAAGGTAATCGGTGCAAAAAATATTTTGATGCCCATAACTGGACTATTTAAATGCTTTAATATCCAAGCTGTGCTGTAAATAGCTATCGATAGATATCGATAACAAATCGAATAAATTTTAATATATTATTTTAATAAATTTACAATTTTTAAATATTATTTTTCAAGGTATAAAAATGCTTTTCTCATTTCTTCACTATTTTCATGTAATAAGTCTTTTGATTGCCGCTCAGTATCTGAAGATAGTTTCATTTTTATTGGTCTTATTTTAATCACCACGCTCAATTCGATCTTGAAATAAATAAGTTACTCAATTTTACTCATCGTTTGTTTTTAGCTGTGAGCCGAAAGACGCCTCGCAAAAGTTTTCGCCCAGAAAGCAGCCGAAAAACTCTCTGGTAAAATTTTAGCATAAAACCATTTTACATGCTGCTAACCACAGGACCAATGTTGGAAAACTAAGAAAAGCAGCAGCTGCACCACCTTAACCAAGCGACCGCCCCATTAAGTCGCCCACTCGACTGCTCGACTGTTGTTGAAAACCAAGAAAATTCTATAAAAAGGCAGCAAAGACGTCAGCAATGTCTACAACAGCAGCGGCAATAACAACAACAGCAACAGCAACAGCAACAACAAAGGACATCAATAAACAGTGTAAAAGACAGTCGCCCGCGTCGGAGAGGACATGGGACACAGGACACAGAACACAGCGGACTCAGGACTTGAGAGCCGGCCATAAAGCTTCCGGCCACTGGCAGGCTTTGCTCTTCCTTCATATTTTTATCGAGCTAACGGGTTTATGGAGGAGGGGGAGGGGGTGAGGAAGGGTTGCATGGGAGTAGGGGCACGAAAACATACGTCAAAGATGCTTTATTGAGTGAAACAAACACTGCCCCCCACCCACGCCCACAACCCCCTACCCCCACCCACAACCCACAACCCCGAATTCCCTTTGCAGTTCGGTTTTGTGAAGGAGCGCGGGTTTCAAACAATTTTAAAGTTGTGCGGTTACTTAAGCGCCAGCCTCACTGTTATTACCCCTAGCAGCAGCCCCTCGCAACCAATCCACCCCCCTCCCCGCAGCCCAACAACCAGCAGACCGCTTGGTTCAATGCCGCGCAGCAGCTGCCGCTGCAGACAAACAAAGCGCCTCGGGCGGGATTTTAAAAAGCACTTACCAAAGCTACCAAGAATGGGCGCTACGCTTAGGCCCTGCTACAGCAGGGCACTGCGAGGGGGGGTCATGGGGTCGCGTTGAGCGGCGCAGGGGGTGAGTTTGGGGGGCGGCATTTGCGTATAAGCTTGCCAGCCTGCTGGAAAATTTGCAAAATATTGACAGGCAATGGGCAGCCCCAACGAACGCCTTTGCCGGGCATTATTTTCTAAATCAATATTTTATTAGCTGCCATGTGGGCACAGCCTGACAATACCTGCTGGGCGGCAGTGGGCGTGGTGGCAGGTAGGTGACAAACTTTATAAACAGCTGTTGCGATTGGTAGACAGCAAGCGGGAAAGCTTGTGATTCTTACAAATAAGTCAGTTGTTAAGGCAATTTTTGGCATCTAGACAATTATCGACAGAGACAATTAAGACGGGTAACGCAATGCGGAACTATCGATTTGGAGTGACTTTTCGAAAGTGATTTCATATTTGCTTACTTATGCATTTGTATTTAATCAGATCTTATAAAAAAAAACCGCATATATCGGTGATTTACTATCGATACATGAAAGAATCTTACCGAAAGGCATTTAAAATTTCATATTTCATCGATTCTTTACGAGTTTGTATACGCTCAGATTATATTCAAAAAACTCTAGATATATCGGTGAATACAGAATAACTATCGATATATATAGTGTGACGTTTGGAATTTCATATTTTATTGTTTATTTATACATTTGTACATTTGTGCAGTCAGGTCTTATCCGAATATTTATCGCTTATCGACAAACACAGCTAAACTATCGATAGACGTGAAGTCACTTATAGATGGGCATATAATTTCATATTTCATCAATTGTTTATGCATTTGTATGTACTCAGATGTTAGTATATTAAGCTACTATAATATATAAGATATACGAGAAGTGACTTATCGACTTCTCGAAAGTGGGTAAAATCTATCAAATTTATTCATAGTATATGTAAACAAGTTTTAACGAAGTATTATACGGTAATCCATATATACAGAGAGGCTATCGCAGTATATGAAGATACCTATCAAAGCCATTAATATTTTTATAGGATCTCGATTACACATGAATATGTACTAAATCATCATCAACTATCGATATACGTGATCTTATTTATCGAAAGACATTAAGAATGGAATATACTTTCGATATATATGATTAAATATATAAATTTAAATTTATTTAATCACGTTAAGATCGTCAGGTAAGGCTCATAAAGGAACCAACCAAATGAATGCAGTTATCGATAGACTCTTCTAACATTTAGGACGAATCGCACCGCTAGTATGAGACAACTTTATAAACGTAGAAAATAGTTATTAAATTCAAAT